GTAGGGGGTGGGGGGGGGATAATAGGAAAACAAATGAAATCTTCGTAAAGCTCTTCCGTTTACAAACTGGTGCACAGTCGTCTAGAAATCTGGGTAACTTTCCGTGATTTAAATCGTGAAAGTAGTACAATTTTTGAAAAGAAAAAAAATTCATAATGTTCAAGTTATCGAGAAGTTTTAATAATAATAACGAAGAAGGCCTGCATGTATTTTTATAACACTACTCTATTCTAACAATAACATTTATATAAGTATTATGAACGATAGTGTTACGTTCAAATGTTTGCAATTAGTTATCTAATGTTCGGTGGAATATATATTTCCCGCCTTTCTCTTCTTATCTCTGAAATTTAGATTTTACAGCCAAGTTTATGAATGTTTTAACTGGGATGTATACTTCCTGCATAGATTAGGAAAATCATGGATTTACAATGGGAAATATTCGTTTTTGGAGAAAACCATTATATTATTAATCTGTGCGTTATATTTCTATGGTTAGTTTAACACATTCCTATAGTTACAGACTATGGTTTCTTTTCACTTATAAAACGACAAACCGATTATAAAAGAACGTCATCATTACACTGCATAACATCATAGCTGATAGGTGTGATCACTAGGCGTTAGCTGACTAAAATGCAATAAAAATTTAATAGTAAGATTCATTACAATTCATGCTGCTATCGCTTGCCTTTCCGTACACTGGAGTCGTACATTTTTTTGCTGTTGTTCGAATAAGTGTTGATGTTAGCAGCAAGGACTAAATCATACGTACATGAATCTGAAAGGAATACATAAAATAGAAGCATAAAGCATTTACTTGGTGACATGAGGAGATGGATTTTCGAAGAGAAGGGCTATATAGGCTAGCGTTAGCTTAAGCTTCGTATACTACGCAGCAACTGGTGCTCTCAAATGAAGAATTAATAGCCAGCACGTGCTGTTGTGCAACCATCGCAGCAACGTTCTTACTGAGCAGATTAGCTATTAAATCCGACAATTCGATTAAAGTAGCCCAAGAGCTGGCAGATTACATTCGAACGACCATTGCGTAAAAGTAGAAATAACAAAGTGGAATGACAGAGCCCGTTTTAAAGAATAGTTCACTTTCAGTACACTATACATACCCATTACTTCTAAGTTACGTAAAAGAAGAAATGATTGTTACAACATCGTTTATAAAAAGGACAAAGACGATCTGTGACAGCTTAACCAGCAAAAAATATAAAAAAAACATTATTCATACTTCAAATGAAACTGATCTGTGGCAACTTAATCAGCAAAAATATTTAAAAACATTATTTTTACTTCAAATGAAATCGATCTGTGACAGCTTAGTCTGCAAAAAATATAAAAAACATTACTTTTACTTCAAATGAAACCGATCTGTGACAGCTTAACCAGCAAAAAAATATAAAAAACATTATTTTTACTTCAGATGAAACCGATCTGTGACAGCTTAATCAGCAAAAAATATATAAAACATTATTTTTACTTCAAATGAAACCGATTTGTGACAGCTTAATCACCAAAAATATTTAAAAAACATTATATTTACTTCAAATGAAACCGTATGAAAATGTAGATTCATAACATTATCCCTTTTGTAGAAAGATAATTAGGCTTCATGGATTTTAAATACTGATCGCTGGAAGGGATTACTGCTTTGCGTGATGACGTTTGTCTCAACTGTACTAATCGGCTTTAGTTTTTTTTGTTTGTTGTTTTTAGAGCAAAGCCGCATTGGACTATCTGCTGTATCCACCACGGGGAACCGAACTCCGGATGTTGGCGTTGAAAGTCCGTAAACTTATCGCTGTCCCATTGGGGGGACGGCTTTAATGTAGTAGCGGTATAAACAACCATTAATGGTGTATCTTATACCTTTCACAAAAAAAAAAAAAAAAAAAAAAAAAAACTAGCTAAAATGTACTGCATCGTTTAACTTGGGTGAATTCGCTCAGTTTTGCATCTCCAATATTGAAGTCAAACTTTGTTCTCATGGATAGATTGTTTAATTAATGAAAACTTTAAAATATTACTACAGGATCTGAATACTTTGACCTAACCTAATACTTTAAATAATGCACATTACGCATTCTTTCATTTACACAATGTGTATTATAAGGAAAGAGGAAATTGAATGGTAAAACGTTTTTAAATCTATTTAATCATTCAGGAGCTGGCATTATTAATCAGATAACTGTAATCGGCTTTAGTTACAAATGTGTATGAAAACAGTAATTATTTTCATACTGCAGGCTGTTGTTGTTCATTTTTTGATAATGCTGACTCACAAATCATTTGCAGCTTTGCTTCAATTTCTGTGGAGAGCAAACTTCTTTCATGTTTGTTTGTTTCGGATATTCCCGAAAAGCTACAAAATGTCTACTTGAGCTAGCAGTCCCATATTTTGAGCTGGTAGATTGTAGAAAGAGGAGGCTGCTAGTTAACAGAACCCAATAATAATTCTTGGGCTACTCTAATGGAATAGAAAGCTTTAACAGTTACTCTTATAACGCGCCCACAGCCCCAAAGTACGGAGCGCGATTATTTTGTGACAACGGGACGCAAGCCATGAACAATCGAATTCACTGGACGTTACTAATCGACAGAATGAGCAAATTAATGTTCTTTTTTGAGATAATTTCATAAAAAAGGTTAGAAAAATCTGCATATGGCTACAAATAATCTTGAGGTAGTTTTTTTTTTATCTCAACGAGAACTTGCACTTCCGTGGAAACAAAAATAAAAGCGCGATAAAACTTGTGTTACAAAGATAAAACTGTTTTATAACACTTTGATCACTTCCAGCATGTAAACAATATACATGTTTTTTGTATTACAAAACAGCTCTTGCTTCTAGCCTCTCTTCACAGCACAGCCTCAGGAGAAACTGGACGGACGTACTAATCCACAACCCAATTAAGACTGCATGAAAACCAACACACTTTTAAGTTTAAAAATTCATTCGAGGTGTATCCGAATCAATGTTTGTCAATACAAAGACTTTGTTGAAAGTATGACGTTGGAGATATTAAATATTCATATTCTGCAGAACGACAACTGATCCGGCTTATGAACAGCACTTTTCTCATGTCATTAAGTCCAGTAAGCTTTCTGTCCTCCTCGCACGGCCGCTAGACAGATCGACGGAAAGTTGTGTCTCAGGAGTGTTTGTTTGTTTCAGAATTAGCCGTCTCCAAATGTGATTACAGACGAGAGAGGAGGCTACTAGTCAACAGCACCCAGTGCCAACCCTTATACAATACTTGGCTACTAGTCAACAGCACCCAGTGCCAACTCTTGTACAACAAAAGGCTACTTGTCAACAGCACCCAATCCAACTCTTGTACAATACTTGGCTACTTGTCAACAGCACCCAATCCAACTCTTGTACAATAGGAGGCTGATAGTCAACAGCACCCAGTACCAACCCTTGTACAATACTTTGCTACTAGTCAACAGCACCCAATGTCAACCCTTGTACAATACTTGGCTACTAGTCAACAGCACCCAGTGTCAACTCTTGTACAATACTTGACTGATCGAACAGTTGGATTTGATCATCACTCTTAAGGCGCACTCATGATCGCCAAACTGTGTTTTCGCGGCAAAGAGTTGCAAACTGTAAATCCTGTGATTCACACTTTAGAAGCGTTAACCAGCCCATCGACAGAAAGATCGAGTACACAAAGAGTTAAATAACTAAACACACACACACATACATATATATATATATATATATATATATATATATATATATACATACATATACAGTGGTGGGACAAATTATTGCATCACCCTATTTTTTCACGCTTTTCTTGGCTCCTGTGATTTTTTACGACATTGTGCGTTGCAGAAGCATCTCTGTTAGCAAATCAACCGTGACAAACGTATTACAGTAGAAGACCAACAAATACTTGACAAATACGAAAATGTTCTCTCAGTAAGAAAACCTAGATTTAAGATAATGCCACTAAGATAATTGCCAAAAAGTGATCCCGGAGTTTCTTTCTTGTTTAAACATTTCAGCTTTGATAGCTGCTTGACATCGCTGTGGCATATAGTCACGAGGGGCTGAATGTCGGCATGGATGAGTTCACGATGTCAAACGCGGATTAAGGATTTCTGCTGTTCCTCCAAGGTGCTTCTCTTGTACTTTGTTACTCGTTACCTTCCAGATGTTTTCGATAGCGTCGAGATCTGGGTTGTTGCCTGACCAGTGTAGTGTCTTGATCCTCTCCTTTCGAAGATAGTCCTTGACCTGAAGCAATGTAAGATATATTTTCAAGACAGGTAGAATGAAATTTTCTCTTCATTTCACATCTACTGCATAGAGTGCATGAATATTACAATTTTTTTTTAACCCTGTGGAATAGAGTAGAATCATCCTGGAATGTTCACTGGTCAGTTCCACTAAAGTGATCTCGAATTGTTGGCTTTAACCAGGACTCGAGGATCTCGATGTACTTATCGCCATTGACAGTGCCTTCAACGAAATGCAGGCGTCCCATAACCTGGCTAGAGATGCATCCCCCTATCACCTGACCCTGTGGAAGCTTCACAATTGCATGCAAATATGCTGGATGAAACTTCTCTACATCGACGTCGTAAAAAATACTTACCATCAGACCTGTGTAGGTTGAAATTTGATTCGTATGAGAAGATCTATTAGCTGCATATTGCTTCAGTTAAGTTAGCATTCTCTTGGGCCCAGACAAGCCATATCCTCCTCATCTTTTTGGTGAGGAGGGGTTTCTTTCTTGGCCAACTTGCTGAGAGACTGGCTAATCACAGGTAAGACCAGACGGTGCGCGTAGTGACAGTGACCTCTGAAATTTCCTGCTTGAGAGATGTGGATGACCGTCGATGTTTTTGCAGGCTCATGCATTTCGGAACACAATCATCAGGTGCTATAGAAGCTTTCTTCCTACCCCTTCCGTCACTCCACACAGCCAATCTCTCTATATCTGTAGCTCACAATAAACTGGGTAAATTTAATTCTTCTAGCATACTGTCTTGTTGAAACTCAATCTTTTCTCAAAGAAACATTGACTGCTTGTTTCCGTAAAGTTAACTCGCAACAATGGGTACGGTATCATCATATGTGCGTTATATCAGATACGTTTCTAAGCTGACTCTCAGTAAGAACCTCTATTTTTAACAACAACAACAAAAAAAAACGGCCGAATTCAAACCCAAACAGCCAATAAATCTACTGATGTAACAATTAGACAGCACTGCATCATCCATGAAACAAATTTGCACCAACCTGTATTAGGGTCTCAAAAGAGACGGTGAACCTGGATAAAAGTTTGAACAAATTGCGAATGCAAAACATTTTTGCACCACTGTATGTATGTATATATATATATATATATACACACACACACACACACACATATATATACATACATACACATACATACACACAGCGTTGGAAATAATTATTAAAACACAAATAATACACGTAAACACAAATAATGCGTAATTTCAATAAATGGTGAGTTTATCATCAGTACTATATATTATTACAAAAAATACACTGGCATTTTGTGTTTGCTTGAAACTAAGCAATACATCTTGCTTTTATGCTACCATACGTTTAAAAATTTATGATTGTGAAATATTCTTTCAAATGTCTTGCATTACTCCCCAAAATTCAGCCAAGTTTCCATATAAGCCCAACAGCCTTAACAGTATTCATATTGGGCTAAGTCGTGGTTGTGAGTGTTCCATCCATCTCCTTTTCCTTCCAAATATCGTTCACCACATTGTGTGCGTACATGGGATCCCTGTCTGCTGAAATATGAATCACTACCCATCAGATCTTGTTTCTGAGAGAATGACAAGGTGAATAAGAATTTTATTGTACCTTTCAGCAGTCAGGGTACCATCAATTTTGTATAGATCTCCCAACACCACTGGCTGAGATGCAGCCTACATTTGCATTAATCCGCCAATGTGATTCATTATAGATTATGTATGTTGACCGTGATACCGTCCTTCACTCTGCCATCGGACAAACTATCGTTGGTTGATGCCAAATAATTTTAATTCGAATTAATCTGTGAAAAACAAACATTTCCATTGTTTAAAGTCTGATGCTCATTTCAGCTTTATGAGTTGGTCATCTCTTCTAAGAAGTGGTTTAAACAGTTACACATCTACTAAGACCACTCCGTGCTAATGTGTATTGTACTGTTCTGGACATAACAACCACACTTATACTTACAACTAAGGTCATTGGAAATATCTCTACTGAATTGTCATATATCATGTGTAGCATACACCCTGACTCTTCGACAGTGTAATGCTACCACGATAAGACTTATGGTTGCAGATATTTTGTCCAAAAATGTGCCGAGGTAAAGTATTCTTATAACGCGGTTTTTAAACTATGTAGAGCCAAAAAAAAAACAAATCTGAAGATGAGAGCATTCAATGTTCTCTACGAAAACCCCAAAACCCGCATAGCTAATCCGGAGCAATACCCTCATCCTTAAAGTGAAGGCTGTGGTTGCGAAAGAGAAATTTCGACATAAAATTCCATTGTAATGAAACTGGACATACCACTTAGTACCATTAACAAAACAAATTGCAAGGTCTTGAAGTAAAAGAAAATCTACAAACTTTAAACCACACCTCGAAGTCAACAGCTGTTTTAATGAAAAAGACTGCTCAATAAACTGGACTCACAGCAGTTCTACCCAATTACAACATAAGTCTCCCGATGCAACCCCAATAGACTTTTGTGCCATTTATCTGCTTAAACATGGGTAGAAGCCAAGGTCCAAGTACCTGTTTTAAGATTGACCTTTGCGTCTTTCGTAGAGGCTTTTCACAGGGAATTTCATGTATAATAGAGCAGCAATTGGTCTCACTCTTTTATTTGTGCAATGATTGTGATTGCCTTTAATCTGTGTTTTTAAACAATATTATATACACATAGCGTTATTAACATTTCTTTTAAATAATGGTCGGGTGATTTGAGACTTTGAGCATCATGAACATTTTTGTCGCATATCTGTTTACTAAATTGTTTGTGTTGCCAACATGTGCAATACAATAACATGAAGTGCGCAAGAGTGTCTGCTAGGAAAATTATGTTCGCTTCTTTAAACATATACGTACAAATTATAAAAATTAGTTAGATTACATTAACATAATTAACTATAGTAGTCAGATCTCATTTTTTATTTTTGCTTTCATGTTCAAATATGCTGTTTTCACAAACTGGTTATTTCTAATTTTTATACCTTTATTTTTTATTTGAAACTTAAAGATAACTTAATAGACAATAAAATTTTACTAAAATAAGAAGCTAATATGGAACTGAAATGCTGAACAACCTAGAAATAAAACTTCATACGATACAGTCATACCTCAGCCTATAGTATCCGCAACTATAACTTACATTTCTGGTGAAGAAAATATATTCACTAACTTTGTATCTTTCACTTCCAACATACAGCTTTACAAATTTCACACTATTAGAAAGACGAGGAGGAAATCAAACAAACCATAATTTTGAGTTAAACTTAAAGTATCTTTCATTTTTAAATTTTACTAGAAATCTGTTGTGTGTTGTTGTTGTTTTTTTGCACTTTATAAATCCTCATTAGAGGATCTATACTGCCGATTTTTCCAAATGTGCGTTAAAACAGGTCACGATCGCTCAAATTCTACGTTATGGGGATTGTACACCCATTTAGAACTATTAAATTAAACCAAGACTTACTGTGTTTCTGAACCTACAAAATCATACCTTCAAACACAGTACTTTACATTCGAAACATCAATGGAGTATGTTTCAACTGCGTCCTGCATGTCATCATTGACAATTTGTACATTTCAATATTGATATATGTATAAATGTATTTGTGTATGTGTGTGTATAACATACACAAAACAAGCCTTAACTAAAACGCTGAACAACAAAACAAAGTCACCAGGGCACAGGCTATAATATGAGGTATAAAATGTATCCTGGTTTTTGGAAGTGACTACGGAAATAGAACCTACATAGAGGTAGGGATACACCGTCTACCAGTCTGCACCTCCGTTCGCAAACCCTCACATGTAAAGTAAAAATAGAAAAGATAAAAGAGCAAGATGTTGATGCTCAAGCCCACAACGTCCACATCTATATCACACTTCCCTGCCTTTTAACATTCGAGGGAAGGTGACTGTTCTCTGAAGAAATGTAATGAAAACTAAGTAAGAAAAAGTCCTACCATTGGGAGTGGTGAGAGAGAAAACCTTACCTCCTGAAGTTGGCGTTCTAGCCGCCATTATGGTATTAAAAGCTCAAATTAATAACGAAATATTAGTAGCACGGCAGACAAATTATACCAGAATAAAATCCCTACCGAATTGTCTAAACTAGCATGACAATCATCCTCCACCCATAAAACCAACTACACCTACTAAATTTTAGATTCTCTTCTACCCTACATAAGAGCTTGTGTATTCATGCGTGCTAATGGTGTTAATACACGCATGAAAATAGTGTCAAGATTTTTTGTTGTTGTTGTTTCAACCGACCCTATTATTAAAATGATAATATAAAAGAAATTTCACACAAATTAAGCATAATATATTCAATTCTTATTTCTTAATATTTATTTATATAATATATTTTTGTATTTTAACCGTGGCTAAGCGGCTCATAGAACGGCTCTGAGATTTTTTTATTTTTTTTCAAGTACAAAGTTTTAGCTTATAGCTCCGTCATCTCTTGACCAATTTGAAATATAATTACAGTTTTGGACTCCGGGGGTCAAACTCTTTCGATTGATGTATTTGATCACGCCCAAGGTCTCATAGATTAATTTATTCTAATCCTGCCTAAATTAATTTCAATTTGAGGTTAGGCAGGTAGAGCTCCTGATGAGTAATAAAATAAAATCAGGTATACGCGCGCCCCACGCTTGGTATTGCTGGCGCACAAAAATATAGCTAATAAAGAGTGAAACAAAGGTGTCATAGATTAATTTACTCTAATCCTGCCTAAAAGAATTTCAAGTGCCGCGACTATTGGGGATTCCCTTTTGTTTACAAAATAAATAAACATTAAATAAATTTATGAAAGTATCAGATCCATTAAATATTAATTTTGAATCAATATTTCGGTATTAGCAGTAAAATGCTGTCATTTGATTAAACTTATACAAAACCTGAGTAGTTGTGAATTTATAACGCTTATAATAAAATTTATGGAACATCGACGTTATGAAAGAGCATTTTGTTTGAAGTTAAGCACAAAGCTACACAATGAGCTATCTGTGCTCTGCTCACCACGAGTATCAAACCCGGTTTCTAGCGTTGTAAGTCCGCAGACATACTGTTGTGCCACTGGGGGCTTAGGAGAGAGGAGGCTGTATATTAGAAAAAAAAAATCAAAAATATTTAAATTAATATTATTATTAAGTATTTTAATTTAAACATCTAAATAATGTGTTTCTAATGCAGAAATTGGAGTTTTAACTATTTCTAATCGTACTAGATATATAGTGTCAACAAAATGAATTATTTCTGAATTATTTACGCTAATTAAGTCATCAATTTATCTTATAAGTTAAAAAACAACACAATCCGGATTTATAAAGTTTTCAAAAATTAGTTATATCATGAGCTTTATAAGTAGAATATTTAACTCCCATTGGAACGCCTATTACTTGTTTAAATACCTGATTACTGGGAAAAGTGTAATTATTATAAATACAGAAACTTAATATAATCTTTATACTTTTGGAGGTAAAATTTTTCTTCAAACAATACAAAAGGATTACAATAATATATTATTAATATATTCATAGCTAAAATTAAATTTTCCAAAGTAAGTGTTTGAACAGTTTTAACTTTCCCACAATTATTTAAATGCTCTAA